GAGTCTTGCTCTGTCGCCCAGGCTAGAGTGCAGTGGGGCGATCTCAGCTCACTGCAAGCTCCGCCTCCGGGGTTCACGCCATTCTCCTGCCTCAGCCTCCCGAGTAGCTGGGACTACAGGCGCTTACCACCATGCCCAGCTAATTTTTGTTTTGTATTTTTAGTAGAGATGGGGTTTCACCGTGTTAGGCAGGATGGTCTCTATCTCCTGACCTCATGATCCGCCTGCCTTGGCCTTCCAAAGTACTGGGATTACAGGCGTGAACCACTGCACCAGGCCTAAAAAAAAAAAAAAACCCATCTTTAGGATGATTCCTTTATTAAAAAATTTTTTTTTTGGTAGAGGTAGGGATCTTGCTATGTTGCCTAGGCTGGTCTCGAACTCTTGGCTTACAAGAAATCCTCCCATCTTGGCCTCCCAAAGTGCTGGGATTACAGGCATGAGCACAATGCCCAGCCAGATTCTTTTTCAGTGACTGCTCAGAGGGCTAAATCTCCATTGCACTTTTAAGTAGAGCAGCCCACCTTCTTCAGTATCATCTGCAACTAATTTCTCTAAACACCTCTTAGATTATTTTTTGCCTAGTAAGCATTGTTGAAGAGTAAAGCACCAGGGAAAATTTCTAGGCTCTACTCCATGTCCTTGTGGAGTAGAGTGTCCCTTCCTTAACCTGTTCTGTCATAACCTAACCTGTTTCTGGACTCCACACTCTGGGTTCCAGAAACAACATCTTTGGGTCCTCTAAGCTTACCACTGTTGCTCTCAGGTTGGGGGAAACTTTGGGGGGCACTCAGACCTTCCCTTATTTGCATAGCACATTATGGGAGCAGTTAACTCACCTGGAATAGTCAGACATGTATTTTCAAAGTGGTGATGCCTGCCGGAATCTTAAAGGCACTGGTTCTCAAACTTTGGCCTGATCAGAATCATCTGGGGAGCTTGTTAATGACTTGGATGTCCAAGCCCCACCCCAGACCTTCTGAGTCAGAATTCCCAGGGGTGGGGCCTGGACAGTTGTGAGCTTAACAAGCTCCGCAGGTGACTCTGATGAACACCAAAGCTTGAGAACCAGTTTTAGCATTGTCTTAATCAGATGAAAGACGGTGGGGAGTCATTTTAGGAGAGAAGGTAGCAGCAACAGAAGTGCAGAGAGCCCAAGAGGAGACACAGTCAGGAAGACAAATCTCTGCTCTGTCTTTATCTCCCTTGAACAAAGCGGTCAAATAAAGGAGGTTATAGGAAATCTCTTCATTCAGGCCGGGTGTGGTGGCTCACGCCTGTAATCTTAGCACTTTGGGATGCCAACGAGGGTGGCTCAACCGAGGTCAGGAGATCGAGACCAGCCTGGCCAACATGGTGAAACCCCGTCTCTACTTAAAATACAAAAATTGGCTGGGTGTAGTGGCGGACGCCTGTAATCCCAGCTACTTGGGAGGCTGAGACAGGAGAATTGCTTGAACCTGGGAGGTAGAGGTTACAGAGAGTTGAGACCACGCCATTGCACTCCAGCCTAGGGGACAAGAGCGAGACTTTGTCTGAAAAAAGAAAAAGAAATCTCTTCATTCAGACGTGTCCTCCTTCTCTGTGTGGTTTTCTATGTGCAATGTATTTATTTATTTATTTTGAGATGGAGTCTCTGTCACCCAGGCTGGAGTGCAATGGTGTGGTCTTGGCTCACTGCAGCCTCCGCCCCCCGAGTTCAAGTGATTCTCCCGCCTCAGCCTCCTAAGTAGCTGAGACTGCAGGCGCATGCCACCACAGCTGGCTAATTTTTGTATTTTTAGTAAAGATGGTGTTTCACTATGCTGGCCAGGCTGGTCTCAAACTCCTGACCTCGTGATCCACCCCGCCTCGGCCTCCCAAAGGGCTGGGATTACAGGTGTGAGCCACCGCAACCGGCTGTGCAATTTATTTTTATTTTTTTTAAGGCTAGTCAAGTGAAGCAGTGGGCGTGTAGAAGGAACAAAGAAATCTGTAACTGGTTGTGATCAATTAGTTTTAAACACCACTGCACCCGGACCAGCAGCAATGTACAATTTGAAAGAACAATGCACTCCTTTCAGAAACAACTAAAATAGCCCACCTTTTTCAGAACATAAAGAGGTTATCAAGGGCTGGGGGGAAGGGGTTATTGCTTAATGTTTGGCATGGTGAACATGTTCTGGAAATGGGTAGTACGATGGTTGCATGACATTGTGAATGTATTTGATCCTATTGAATTATACCTTTAAATATGGTTAAAATGTTAAATTTTATGTTATGTATGTTTTACAATTTAAAAAAGTTAGGTTTTTTGAGGCATGAAATGATAGCTGCAAAAGATGTTCAATCTTAGCTCATTGCTGCTGCCCCAGGTGTGTGTGCATAGGAGGTTATGTAAGGGACGCTCAACTCACAACACATGATCTGACAAAGTACAAGTGTATATTCATGGGAACGAGGGAAAAGATAAAACTTTTGAAATGATAGTGAAAATCTGACATAAATATAGGCGATGCCTGGAACACTCTTCACTGGCCCTTTTGCCTGGTTGACTCCTGGGTTCCATAACACTTCTTTTGGAGGACCTTATAGGGCAGCATCTTTCAAACTTCACTGTGCATAAGAATCACCTGGGGACCTTGTTAAAACTGCAAATTCTCATTCAGTAGATCTGAAGTGAAGCTCTAGCGGCATTTCTAACAAGTTCCCAGGTGATGCTGACACTATAGACCCACAGACTATACTGGGGGGCTGTGTAAATTTAGTCTTCCTTTTCCTTTTTTTTTTTTTGGAGACAGAGTCTCACTCTGTCG